CAGGCATCCATGTGCAGATTAACTCTGTATAATGTATTGTCGAAGGTTTTCATGGCCAGAATCATTGGGTTGTTGTAGGTTTTTCAGACTGTATGGCCATGTTCTAGAAGGATTCTCTCCTGACCTTTAAATGGACAAACCAAGAGGGTGCTCACCAATGCTTCCTCTTCATCCTGGAAAGAAGTGACGAGCGGAGTGCCGCAGAGTTCTGTCCTGGGCCCGGTCCTGTTCAACATCTTTATTAATGACTTAGATGAAGGGTTAGAAGGCAGGATCATCAAGTTTGCAGACGACACCAAATTGGGAGGGATAGCCATTACTCCAGAAGACAGGAGCAGGATTCAAAACGTTCTTGACAGATTAGAGAGATGGGCCAAAATTAACAAAATGAAGTTCAGCGGGGACAAATGCAAGATACTCCACTTAGGCAGGAAAAACAAAATGCAAAGATACAGAATGGGGGATGCCTGGCTCGAGAGCAGTACATGTGAAAAAGATCTTGGAGTCCTTGTGGACAACAAGTTAAACATGAGCCAACAATGTGATGTGGCGGCAAAAAAAGCCAATGGGATTTTGGCCTGCATCAATAGGAGCATAGTGTCTAGATCTAGGGAAGTAATGCTACCCCTCTATTCCGCTTTGGTTTGACCACACCTGGAATATTGTGTCCAATTCTGGGCACCACAATTCAAGAGAGATATTGACAAGCTGGAATGTGTCCAGAGGAGGGCGACTAAAATGATCAAGGGTCTGGAGAACAAGCCCTATGAGGAGCGGCTTAAGGAGCTGGGCATGTTTAGCCTGAAGAAGAGAAGGTTGAGAGGAGATATGACAGCCATGTATAAATATGTGAGAGGAAGCCACAGGGAGGAGGGAGCAAGCTTGTCTCCTTGGAGACTAGGACGCGGAACAAACTACAAGAAAGGAGATTCCATCTGAACATGAGGAAGAACTTCCTGACTGTGAGAGCCGTTCAGCAGTGGAACTCTCTGTCCCGGAGTGTGGTGGAGGCTCCTTCTTTGGAAGCTTTTAAACAGAGGCTGGATGACCATCTGTCAGGGGTGATTTGAATGCAATATTCCTGCTTCTTGGCAGGGGGTTGGACTGGATGGCCCATGAGGTCTCTTCCAACTCTTTGATTCTTTTGTTACTGTATCCTTGTTTGCTTTGTTACTCTATTATTACAGTGTAACACTTTTCTGGTTACCATTTTAAGAAAATATAACATTGTAACTTTTTTTTAAAAAAAAAAGGCAAAGGCATCTCTTTTTATAGTGTTTTTATCTCTTACTTTAATACTAATTAAATTTATTATTTAGAATTATTATTAATAATAGTACATTATAATCATAAATTTATGTATTATAATTAATTAGTTATTATTAATATTGTTATACTATTATAATATTAAAGTAAGGTAAAGCCTTCCCTTGACATTAAGTCTAGTCGTGTTCGACTCTGGGGGGTCGTGCTCATCTCCATTTCTAAGCCGAAGAGCCAGCATTGTCCATAGACACCTGCAAGGCCATGTGGCTAGCATGACTGCATGGAGTGCTGTTACTTTCCTGCTGGAGCAGTACCTTTTTTTTTTTTTGTCGTGTCAGGAGTAACTTGAGAAACTGCAAGTCACTTCTGGTGTGAGAGAATTGGCCGTCTGCAAGGACGTTGCCCAGTAGTACCTATTGATCTACTCAGATTTACATGTTTTCAAACTGCTAGGTTGGCAGAAGTTGAGGCTAAGAGCAGGAGCTCACCCCACCATCCGGATTTAAACCAGTGACCTTTTGGCCATCAAGTTCAGCAGCTCAGTGGTTTAACCCAATGCACCACCAGGGGCTCCAATTATTAATTAATTTATAAATAAATAAATAAATAAATATTAATTCATTTATTATAATTAAATAAATATTATTATAGTATTAATATTTATTGTTGTTGTTTATTCATTCAGTCATTTCCTACTCTTTGTGACCTCTTGGACCAGCCCACGCCAGAGCTCCCTGTCGGCCGTCACCACCCCCAGCTCCTTCAGAATCAAGCCAGTCACTTCAAGGATGCCATCTATACATCTTGACCTTGGTTGGCCTCTCTTCCTTTTTCCTTCCATTTTCCCCAGCATCACTGTCTTCTCTAAGCTTCCCTGTCTTACTTCATCTTTGCCTCTGATATCCTTCACTCCAATGAGCACTTGGGCTTTATTTCCTGAAGTATGGACCGGTTGGACCTTCTCGTGGTCCAAGGCACTATCAGAATTAATATTAATATTATTTAGGATTATTATTAATAGATCCTAACTGTGAGAGCTGTTCAGTAGTGGAACTCTCTGCCCTGGAGTGTGGTGGAGGCTCCTTCTTTGGGGACTTTTAAACAAAGGCTTGATGGCGATTTCCCTGCTTCTTGGCAGGGGGTTGGACAGGATGGCCCACAAGGTCTCTTCCAACTCTATGATTCTATGAATTTATAATAATTAATTTATTATAATTACCAATAAATTACTCCTCCAACTGCAGCATTGTCTGTCTCACATTAGAGCAGCTTCTTTGCAAGCATCGTAAGGGGTGCGGTGTCACCTGTACGCAGATGACGTCCAACTCTGTTACTCCTTCCCACCTGCTACTAAGAAGGCTGTTCAGGTCCTGAACCGCTGCTTGGCCGCTGTGATGGTCTGGATGAGGGTGAACAAATTGAAATTGAATCCAGACAAGACAGAGGACCTCCTGGTCAGTTGCAAGGCCAAACAGGGCATAAGGTTACAGCCTGTGTTGGATTGGGTTACACTCCCTCTGAAGACACAGGTTCACAGCATGGGTGTGATTCTGGATTCATCGCTGAGCCTGGAACCTCAGGTTTCAGCGGTGACCAGGGGCGCTTTTGCACAGTTAAAGCTTGTGCACCAGCTGCGCCCATACCTTGGGAAGCCTGACTTGGCCACGGTAGTCCATGCTCTGGTTACATCCCATATAGACTACTGCAATGCGCTCTACACGGGATTGCCTTTGAAGACTGTCCGGAAGTTTCAATTGGTCCAATGGACGGCAGCCAGATTGCGCATACAACTCCTCTGTTGCGCCAGCTCCACTGGCTGCAAGTCTGCTACCGGGCATAATTCAAAGTGCTGGCTTTAGCCTATAAAGCCCTCAGCGGTTCTGGTCCAACTTACCTGTCTGAATGCATCTTCTCTTATGAACCTGCTAGGACTTTAAGATCGTCTGGGGGAGGCCCTGCTCTTGATCCCACCTCCGTCACAAATATGTTTGGCGGGGATGAGAGACAGGGCCTTCCCAATGGTGGCCCCTCGGCTATGGAACGCCCATCTTACAGACATTAGATCGGGGGGCCCTGCCTCTTAACATTCCGGAAAATGCAGTGTAAAATACATAGGAACTTCGAACCACTGGACAACGAGATGGATAATGTTTTAAACTAGGAGGTGCAAATGTTTTATGTTTTTATTACTTTTGTTTGGTTTTATACTATGTACTAGCTTTACCCACCACGCGCTGCTGTGGCCAACCTTCCCTCCCTATTTCTCTGCTTCTTTCCCTCCTACCTTCGCTCCCTCTTTCTGTCCTTCCTCCCTTTTTCCTTTCCTTCTCTCCTTCCTTCCTTCTCTACCTCTTTCCTTCCCCCTTTTTTCTTTTCATCCCTCTTTTTCTGCTTTCTTCCTTCTCTACCTTTTTCCTTCCTTCGCTTTTTGCTTCTATCCATACTTCTGTCTTTCCTTCTTTCCTTCCCTCCCTCTCTCTCCTTCCTTCCTTCTCTACCTCTTTCTTTCCTTCCCCCCTTTTTCTTTTATCCCTCTTTTTCTCCTTTCTTCCTTCTCTACCTCTTTCCTTCCTTCCTTCGCTTTTTGCTTCTATCCAGACTTCTGTCTTTCCTTCTATCCTTCCCTCTCTCTTTCTCTCCTTTCTTCCTTCTCTACTTCTTTCCTTCCTTTCCTTTATTCTTACTTTCTCTTCCTTCTCTACCTCTTTCTTTCCTTCCCCCTTTTTCTTTTATCCCTCTTTTCTCCTTTCTTCCTTCTCTACCTCTTTCCTTCCTTCCTTCACTCTTTGCTTCCATGCTTCCTCTCTTTCCATCTTTCTTTACCTCCCTCTTTCTCTCCTTTCTTTCTTTCTCCTTCTCCTTTCCTCCCTCTTTCTTTTCTGTATTGTCATTTAGCTTTTCGTCATGAATGATGGTCACTCATTGGTCTGTTAGGGGTATAGTGCCCAAATTTCGTGTCAATTCGTCTAGTGGTTTTTGAGTTATGTTAATCTCTAGAGGGTGGTATACTTTCAAAAGTATTTCTATGTCAGACTACACAGAGAAGCCATTGAAATCCACAAGCATGTGGACAATTTCAACAGAAAGGAAGAAACCATGAAAATGAACAAAATCTGGCTACCAGTATTAAAAAACTCTAAAATTACAACAGCAAAACAACAGAGAGGAAACAACAGGCACATAAAATCACTCTCAACAAAAGATTCCCCCCAGGCACTTCCAAGCCATTGAATGCTAATCAAGGTGATCAGCTGAAACATTCACACCTAGCCCCAGCAGACAAAGGTCCTTTGTTTCACCCTGGTCATTCCACAGATATATAAACCCATTTTTCCTACTTCCAACAGACCTCACTACCTCTGAGGATGCTTGCCATAGATGCAGGCGAAACGTCAGGAGAAAAATTGCCTCCAGAACATGGCCATAGAGCCCGGAAAAACCTACAACAACCCAATGTGTTAAATGTTTTATGATGTTCTTGGGCATCGAATCGTTGCCTCTGTCAACCGCCCTGAGTTGCCTGAGGGCTGAGAAGGGCGGTATACAAATAGAGTAAGTAAAGAAATCAATAAACCTTGTGGGGAGCCTTCCTGAGATCCAGGTGTGCCAAGGAGGGAGGGAGGGAGGGAGAGCAGGTGAGAAAAAATGGGAAGGTGGGAGCAAAAGTAGCGTCGGGAGGAGGAGGAGAAAAGGAGGCGGTGGCGGAGGAGAGGGCGGCGCCCGACAAAAGGCGCCCTCCTCCACCTGCGCCTCTCCTCCCTCTCTCTCTCCTTTCTCACCTTCCCTGCTTGCCTTCCTCGTCGGAGGCCACGTCCGGGCCTTGCTCCCCTCCCTCCCTCCTTCCTTCCCTGCCGCCATGCTCCCTGCCCGCGGCGGAGGGGGCTCCATGCCGCCGCCGCCCACCGCCACCGCCCACTACCCGCCACCTCGCATCACCCTCCCTTCGGGGCTGGAGATCCTGCGCACCTACTCGGGGGCCTTCATCTGCCTGGAGATCGTAAGTCCACCAAGGAAAGGAGAGAAGGGAAGGGAAGGGGGGGGGTCTCCCTCGGGATAAACGCTCAACAAGTGGGGGAGAGAGAAAGAGAGAGAGAAAGCGTTGGATGCACCCACTCTGTACATTAAGTCATGCGCCCACTTGTTGGCACCTCTCGAATTGCCCTGGCTCAGTGGCGTGGAGTCCAGAGAATTGTAGCTTGACGTGGTCTTCAGCCATGGCCTTCAAGACCTGGATTCAGACAGGATTATTTCAACAGTGTAGATCAGGAATGGGCAAACTTGGGCCCTCCAGGTGTTTTGGACTTCAACTCCCACCATTCCTAACAGCCGGTAGGCTGTTAGGAATGGTGGGAGTTGGAGTCCAAAACACCTGGAGGGCCCAAGTTTGCCCATGCTTGGTGTAGATGGGGAGGGGAGGGAGGGGGGGGGTCTCCGTCGGGATAAACGCTCAACAAGAGAGAGAGAGAGAGAGAGAGAGAGAGAGAGCACGCTTTGGATGTACCCACTCTGTACATTAAGTCATGCGCCCACTTGTTGGCACCGAATTGCCCTGGCTCAAATGCTGAAGAGAATTGTAGCTTGACGTGGTCTTCAGCCATGGCCTTGAACAGTGTAGATCAGGAATGGGCTACACTATCAACAGTGTAGATCAGGAATGGGCAAACCTGGGCCCTCCAGGTGTTTTGGACTTCAGCTCCCACCATTCCTAACAGCCTAGGCTGTTAGGAATGGTGGGAGTTGGAGTCCAAAACACCTGGAGGGCCCAAGTTTGCCAATGCTTGGTGTAGATGTTTTGAGCTCTTGACTGACTCTTCTGGTCTTATTTGCATCAGTTGTTGGCATGTTGGATGTCAAACCAACCAACCAACCAACCAACCCACGGGTTCTTCTATTTCTATGGGTGTCGAATTAATGCAGTTTGACACAAGTTGGACAGCCCTGGCTCAATGCTATAATAATAATAGTTATTATTATTATTATTGTGCAGTTTTCTGGCATTGTAAATTTCTGCTGCTTCTGTGATTGTTCATACCAGGTGACACTCACATTGAGGAAAAACAGCAGGAAAAACTCAGCCGTTATCAGGACCTCAACATCAGAATGCAAAGGCTCTGGCATAAACCAGTACAGGTGGACCCAGTGGTCATGGGCACACTGGGTGCTGTGCCACAAGAGCTCAGCCGGCATTTGGAAACAATAAACATCGACTAGATCACAATCTGTCAACTGCAAAAAGCCACCTTACTTGGATCTGCACGCATCATTCAAACATACATCACACAGTCCTACACGCTTGGGAAGTGTTCAACTTGTGATTTTGTGATACGAACTTTACTTAGGCAATATCTCGTAGTCCAAGGATGATGGTCCTCCAAGTTGGGTGTCCTGGCAGTCGGTCTGTAGGTGACTGTGGAGCCCTATTCTTGATCTGCATCTTCTTCCACAGTGAGGGCATTGGTTTCCAGGTGGAAGCTGGTCTTGGTTGACATGACTTCCTCTTGGCACGTTTCTCTCTTTCACCCTCCATTCGTGCCTCTTCAAATTCTGCAGCACTGCTGGTCACAGCTGACCTCCAGCTGGAGCTCACAAGGACCAGGGCTTCCCAGTGCATACTGTGCTTTTTTGTGGAGTAATAATAATAATAATAATAATAATAATAATAATAATAATAATAATAATAATTTTTATTTATACCCACCACCATCTCCCCAAAGGGGACTTGGAGCTAACATGAGACCAAGCCCAAAAATACAGTACAACAAAATAAAATACAAAGAAACAAAAATTACATCAAAATAGGATACATGAAGTAACAAAATAAAATAAACAGTTACAAAATTGCATAATGAGGAGACAGAACACAATGGGCGAGCCAAATGCACAGGATAAAAAAATGATAAAACCCTGGATGAGTTAATAGTGGAAAAATGTATTTCTGAGGGAGGAGCTTTTAAGGGGTGAACAGTGGGGTTAGACCCAATACTATGTAACTTTATCTGGCTTTTAACCTTTTCTGCCTAAAGGCCCTTCCAGACAGGCTTCATATCCCAGGATCTGATTCCAGGTTTTCTGCTTATCCCAGATTATCTGGCAGTGGGGACTCATATAATCCAGTTTAAAGCAGAAAACCTGGGATCAGATCCTGGCATATTAAGGCCAGGATCTAGAAGGGCCCTAAGAGGACAACTAAAACACAATTTTGATGCCACTTAAACTGTCCTCTTCAATATGATGATATCACTGGACTTGTCGTTTTATATGACCTTTAGGGTTCGTTACCAAAGAGGACTGGTGCCGCACCAAACTACGAGTCTCAGCATTCTGTAGTATTGAGTCATTACTGATTTAATGAATGTTTTATTTATTGTTTTAATTGTTATTATATTGCTCTGTTATATGTAGTGGCATTGAATTACTGCCAAATGTAAGCCATCCTGAGTCCCCCTTTGGGGGTTGAGAAGGAACGAGATAGAAATGTCGGAAATAAATTAATGGCAGTCAAAGTGGTGTCAAGCTGCTTTGTTTCAACAGTGTAGATGTATCCTTTGTTCTTTTCCATGCCAAGTCTTGTTGAGTTCACCCAGGGAAAGTAGTGCACAAATTGTCATCTTTATTTACAAGGGATAGGATACTTGGATGCCTGCTTTCAAAACAAAACAAGGCAGGTGCTATATTTGTATGCGTGCATCCACGCTCTAGAACAGTGGTTCCCAACCTGAGGTCCGTGGACCACCAGTGGTCCACAAGAACTAAAATATGGTCTGCCGCCTCACCGTTACTACACAGCTGCAGTGAGAGCGAGTGGTCTTGCGAAACCCTCTTATAGTACCAAGACTTATTAAATATGTCAACAAAAGTTTGCTCCAGGCACAGTCAGCCCGTTGTATGCTAATCAAGGTGGTCAGTTGAAACATTCACACCTAGCTCCAGCAGACAAGAGTCCTTTGTTTCACCATGGCCATTCCACAGATATATAAACCCTTTTTCCTAGTTCCAACAGACCTCACTACCTCTGAGGATGCTTGCCATAGATGTAGGTGAAACATCAGGAGAGAATGCCTCTAGACCGTGGCCATACAGCCTGAAAAAAACCTACAACAACCTTATTAAATATGGTTTTCTGTGGGTGAGCATATGGTGACTACTGGATGGCATATGTTCTGTATTGGAAACTAGAGCTGATGTGATCTATCGAATGCAATTTTCTGAATCAGCACCCCAAATTACCAAACCGAATTTAAAGTTGACCAAAAACTGATTCATAACCCTTTTGGTACTAATGTTGGAGTATGTTCCCTGGTCAAGTGGTCCTGGTAAAAAAAAAGTTTGGGAACCATTGCTCTAGCATTAACACAGTTTGATAGCACTTTAACTGCCATGGCCCAATGCTATGGAACCATGGTTTTACAGGATCTTTAGCCTTCTCTGCCAAAGAGTGATAATTCCTCACTGAACTGCATCTCCCAGGAATCCATAGCATTGAACCAAACTATATTACTTCTGTGGTGTAGATGCAATACCCAGGTTCTTCGCTGCACACCATATTCTACTCTTCTTCCAGTAGCTAGGTATATTTTTTTTCTACCTCCCTTTCCCCCTTATGAGAAAATCACTGGTGATATTCTCCTCCCACTCATTATTGTCACAGGGTACAGCATTTATGACAAAATTTTGGGTGGGGGACCCACACACACACTGATGGCCTCATCACACTAGAGGAAAAAAATCCACTTAAAATCTGGTTTCTGCCTCCTCCAGAATTCTAGGGTTTGTAGTTTAGGGAGGAGCCTTTAACAGACTCACTAAACTACAAACCCCAGTAGATCTTTTTTTCTCTAAATGCGATGAAGTACTGAGTTGGGAGCAGAAGACTGAGTTGTTTTACTTTCTAAAAAAAACTTTCACTGCTGAACAAAAATATTTCTGTCTGTTATGCAAAGGGGAAAAGATATTACAACCCCATTAGACTAAAATTCTTGATGTGCAATCTCATTTTCCTGCAAAATCTCTCCAAGCTCCGACTTATCTTCTTTGTTGCATTTTTAATGGTCTTTTTCTGACTCACACACTTTGATGTCTTTCCATTTTGCAAATTAATTTTACTTTCCTGAAAGCATAGGTTGTGCATTTTTAAAACTGTCTTGACAGAGGAATGTTAACAGAGAGCCAGAGTGATTTAGTCCTCACTCTTAGACTGGAGGATTATCTGGGTTCAGGTTTTCATTGGAGCCATAAAACTTCATATGAAGCCATGGGGACATGTTCTCAGTCTAACCCTACCTTGCAATTTTGTTTTGGGATTATGTGAGTTGTAGGTGTTTTGCATTGAGGTTGGTGGAGAAAAGCAGGCTGTGATTAATAAATAAACACTACTTCCCATTCCTATTTTCTTTTCCAGCCAATCTATTTCTCATTTCTCAACCCCACAAATCCTACTTTGAGCTCCCAACCCAGAGGTGTAATTTATGCAGTACTGCAGGTGTTGGCAAACAGTAACTCCCATCAGTCCTCTCAGCATACTGGCTAGTAAAGGATGCTGATATGTAGAGTTCAGTAACATTTAGAGGGCCACCCAGTTCCCGTCTTTTTAACCCTTCCCATTGAACTCATTTGCATCTGCCAGGCTTCCCCAACTTGGTGACCTCCAAACGGGTTTGGTTACAGCAGTGGTTCTAATCCTGTGGGTCCCTAGGTGTTTTGGCCTACAACTCCCAGCTGTTAGGATTTCTGGGAGTTGAAGGCCAAAGCATCTGGGGACACACAGGTTGAGAACCACTGGATTATAGTTTTATTCTTTGCTAGGGCAATGCTAGCTGAGGTTGATGGTTTCTGTGATTAGCCTATTTGGAGGGTGCCAGGTTGGGGAAGTGGCTCATGGACTCCCTCTTCTCACTAAAATAATCAGACTAAGCTGCTTTGTATCAATTCCATTATTCAACCATGAAGCCCAGTGATATGATTGCTTAGTTTTTAAAAAAATATATTTTCCATCATTTG